TGCCCTCTTTGGGGATGGCAGTGTTTACATTTGCCAGTGTGTATTGGAAGTGTTTACCTTCTTTTCTCTCCTTTCTACAAGGGCTCAGGGATACAAGTTTTCCTTAAGGCTCAGAGGATACTTTGGACTTGAACTTTTCAGCAATGCTGGTAAGACTGCCAGCACCTAGACATGGAATAAATACATTTTGTGTAAAGACATGCACATGAGTCTTGGGGCCCGTGGTCAAGCTGTTATGGTTCAGATCTGGGATGTCCCCCAAGAGCTTCATGTGCTCACAGGAGGGGCTCAGGGAAGACGGGGCCAGCTCAGCAGCACGTAGGTCAGGGGGACATCACCTGTAAAGACTGACAGGCTTCAATGGAAAAATGAGAACTCTCAAACTCTGCTTGAAACAACCACTTCAAAAGGCAATTTAACAGTTTTGAAGTTCAGCATGTACCAGCCCTGTGACCCAGCAATTTCACACTGAGGTATTTTCCCCGGGGAAACAAGAGGCGCTCTCCATGCAAACATCAGTACAGGAATGGTCATAGCAGCTTTGTGTTTCACAGTCAAAACTGGAAAGCACACATATAGCCCTCAGCACATGGGCACGTGAACCATCTGTGGTTCATGCGCATGATGGCATGCGATGGATGAGCCTCTGACAAGGAACAGCACGCACGAACACAAACATGGTTATACTGACTGAATAAACTGTACCGAAAAATAAAACCAAGTAAAACCAAGACAACACTAAATGCTGCAAGCAGTCAACCTGGGATAGGAGGCACATGGGCTGCTTGGGATGAGAGGATAGCAGGCCATTGAAGTGGCCACAAGGAAAGTATCAAAGTGATGTAGGTGTGTATGGGTCCATCATCACTACTGGGGTGACGCCTTCCATGACCTACAAAGACTACTGCCCTACAGTCTGCAGCCCATCCCACCTCACTTGATATCACAGTACTGAATACTACACTTTCCCATGGACTTCAATAGCTAAGTAGGAATAATTAATCATTTCTATGCTTCAACAACCTACGATGGACCACCCACCACAATCTAAGATGTTATGTCCTGAAATCAACATTTCTATCCCTGAAGTAAAATCGTTGTGCAAATTTTTGGAGGATCTCCACACTCCCCAATTCAATGACAATGATATGATCAAGCCAGATAACAGAAGCATCCTGACATTCCCCGGCTTTCTATATGTGAATGCCAGCACCTCACATTGAGAGAACACACAGAAAAGACCCTTTAGTACTGGGCCTGCTACATACAAAGTCTCTCTGTATATATGCTGCCTTAGAAGTGAAAATGGCACCAGGGCCTCAAATCAGAGAAACTTGTTTAGTTTTTCTTTTGCTGTTTCCCAGTAGCACACTGAATCAGGCAGTAATTCCAGCATTCTGGGGGTCTGAGGCAGGAAAATCCAAAGATGGAGTCCATCATGATCAATTAAGGTTTGTCTTCTTTCATCTCTCACCTCAAACTCATGGTGAACTTCCTGCCTCAGCCTCCCCAGTGTTGAGATCCCAGGCGTGTGTGACCAAACCTGTAACAGGCTCCATTAAATGATTTAGTGAGACCCTTAATGAGTTTCTGGAAAAAAGATAGACTGGGGATGTAATAGAGTTCAGCACGAGCACAGTGGGCTCAATCAATGCTCAGTACTGCAAATGTACATCCTAGTTAGACAGATGCCTAGATTAAAAACAGTAATAGTACTAAGGGAAGGGCCACTGATTTATTTCACTATGAACATGAAGCTGGGCCATCGGGTCTTCTCCTCAGAGGAAGTGCTCTGGTTGTAGGCACAAGACATGACCTTGTTTCCTTGGCAACCTGTCCAAACAGGACATGGAACCCTCGTGAACACGAGTCACAATAGAGTGACTGTTACGTCCTGAGCTCACTTGTCCAGAGGCGGTGAACAGCAAGTATGCTGAACTGCTTCTCAACTTCTGGAGGCAAGAGCCAGAAGACTTCAGGCAGAGACACTTTCTTTCAAAGACTGAGAAAATGGTTAACTCCACCCAGTCATCTCAGGCCACACCGCAGGATCCGCTCAATCATCACGGAAAACCCAGGCCAGATCTCCCCAGGGGTGACCACCATGAGCCATGAGCCACCAAGGAGCGTGGGCTCACCTGCCCTAATCAGGAAGGTCCCAGAAAGCCCAGGAAATGTCTCCCCAGGCCCTGGCATAAAGTACCCTGAGACACTGAAGGGCCAAGAGGTCTCCTTAGACCCAGCTTCTAAGCACCAAAAGGCCCCAAGGGACCTAGGGAAGATCTGCCAGGGATCTGCCACCAGGTACCAAAATCCAGCAAAGATCCCAGGACAGGTCCCCTCAGGCCTGAACGCGAGTCACAGAGAAACACTGGGGAACCCAAGAAAAGTCTCCTTAGGCCCAATTCGTCAGGACACAAAGACACCAAGGAGACCAAGGCAGGTCTCTCCAAGCCCAGGCACCCAGTGCTCAGAGATACCACCTAGCTCTGGGCAGGTCTCCTCACGCGTGACAACCAGAAGCCCAGAAACTGCAAGAGGCCCGAGGGGTGAAACTGACGGACCAGGCAACAGTACCCCAGAGTCACTGAGGACAGCGGGGGAGGTCTTTCTCGACCTGGTCATATCAGATCCACAAACACCTAGGGGCCTTCCCAGAGAACGGGAGATCTTCCCACAGGAGAACTGTCCTGGCACCGCCACGGGGGGCGTACAAAGATGTAGGAGCTCAGAGGAGGTCTTCCCATGGGAGATCTGCCCTAGCCAAGAGACTAGGACCCCACAAAGACCCAGGAGCCCAGGAGAGGTGTTCCCAGGGGACATTTTCCTGGGCCTGGGCATGAGGTACCCAGAAAGACCCAAGGGCACAGGTGAAGTGTTCCCAGAGGACACTTTCCCGGGCCTGGGCATGGGAAACCCACAAAGACCCAGGAGCCCAGGAGAGGTGTTCCCAGAGGACATTTTCCCAGGCGTGGGCATGGGATACCCAGAAAGACCCAGGAACCCAGGACAGGTGTTCTCAGGGGACATTTTCCCGGGCCTGGGCATGGGATACCCACAAAGACCCAGGAGCCCATGAGAGGTCTTCCCAGGGGACACTTTCCCGGGCCTGGGCATGGGAAACCCACAAAGACCCAGGAGCCCAGGAGAGGTGTTCCCAGGGGACATTTTCTCGGGCCTGGGAATGGGATACGCACAAAGACCAAGCAGCCTAGGAGAGGTGTTCTCAGAGGACATTTTCCTGGGCCTGGGCATGAGCTACCCACAAAGACCCAGGAGCCTAGGAGAAGTGTTCTCAGAGGACATTTTCCTGGGCCTGGGCATGAGCTACCCACAAAGACCCAGCAGCCTAGGAGAAGTGTTCTCAGAGGACATTTTCCTGGGCCTGGGCATGAGCTACCCACAAAGACCCAGCAGCCTAGGAGAAGTGTTCTCAGAGGACATTTTCCTGGGCCTGGGCATGAGCTACCCACAAAGACCCAGCAGCCTAGGAGAAGTGTTCTCAGAGGACATTTTCCTGGGCCTGGGCATGAGCTACCCACAAAGACCCAGCAGCCTAGGAGAAGTGTTCTCAGAGGACATTTTCCCGGGCCTGGGCATGGGATACCCACAAAGACCCAGGAGCCCAGGAGAGGTGTTCTCAGAGGACATTTTCCTGGGCCTGGGCATGAGATAACCACAAGACCCAGGAGCCCAGGAGAGGTCTTCCCAGAGAACATTTTCTCGGGCCTGGGCATGGCATACCCAGAAAGACCCAGGAGCCCAGGAGAGGTGTTCCCAGGGGACATTTTCCTAGCCCTGGGCATGGGATACCCACAAAGACCCAGGAGCCCAGGAGAGATCTTCCCAGGGGACACTTTCCCGGGCCTGGGCATGGGAAACCCACAAAGACCCAGCAGCCTAGGAGAAGTGTTCTCAGAGGACATTTTCCCGGGCCTGGGCATGAGATACCCACAAAGACCCAGAGGCCAGGAGAGGTGTTCCCAGGGGACATTTTCCCAGGCCTGGCGATGAGATACCCACAAAGACCCAGGAGCCCAGGAGAGGTGTTCCCAGAGGACATTTTCCCGGGCCTGGGCATGAGGTACCCAGAAAGACCCAGGGGACCAGGTGAGGTGTTCCCACAGGACATTTTCCTGGTCCTGGGCATGGGATACCCACAAAGACCCAGGAGCCCAGGAGAGGTGTTCCCAGAGGACATTTTCCCGGGCCTGGGCATGAGGTACCCAGAAAGACCCAAGGGCACAGGTGAAGTGTTCCCAGAGGACATTTTCCCGGGCCTGGGCATGAGGTACCCAGAAAGACCCAGGGGACCAGGTGAGGTGTTCCCACAGGACATTTTCCTGGTCCTGGGCATGGGATACCCACAAAGACCCAGGAGCCCAGGAGAGGTCTTCCCAGGGGACACTTTCCCGGGCCTGGGCATGGGAAGCCCACAAAGACCCAGGAGCCCAGGAGAGGTGTTCCCAGGGGACATTTTTCTGGGCTTGGGCATGAGATACCCACAAAGACCAAGCAGCCTAGGAGAGGTGTTCTCAGAGGACATTTTCCTGGGCCTGGGCATGAGCTACCCACAAAGACCCAGGAGCCCAGGAGAGGTGTTCCCAGAGGACATTTTCCCGGCCCTGGGCATGGGATACCCACAAAGACCCAGGAGCCCAGGAGAGGTGTTCTCCGAGGACATTTTCCCGGGCCTGGGCATGGGAAGCCCACACAGACCCAGGAGCCCAGGAGAGGTGTTCTCCGAGGACATTTTCCCGGGCCTGGGCATGGGAAGCCCACACAGACCCAGGAGCCCAGGAGAGGTGTTCTCCGAGGACATTTTCCCGGGCCTGGGCATGGGAAGCCCACACAGACCCAGGAGCCCAGGAGAGGTGTTCTCCGAGGACATTTTCCCGGGCCTGGGCATGGGAAGCCCACACAGACCCAGGAGCCCAGGAGAGGTGTTCTCCGAGGACATTTTCCCGGGCCTGGGCATGGGAAGCCCACACAGACCCAGGAGCCCAGGAGAGGTGTTCCCAGAGGACATTTTCCCGGCCCTGGGCATGGGATACCCACAAAGACCCAGGAGCCCAGGAGAGATCTTCCCAGGGAACACTTTCCCGGGCTGGGCATGGGAAACCCACAAAGACCCAGCAGCCTAGGAGAGGTGTTCTCAGAGGACATTTTCCTGGGCCTGGGCATGAGATACCCACAGAGACCCAGAGGCCAGGAGAGGTGTTCCCAGGGGACATTTTCCCAGGTCTGGCTATGAGATACCCTCAAAGACCCAGGAGCCCAGGAGAGGTGTTCCCAGAGGACATTTTCCCGGGCCTGGGCATGGTATACCCAGAAAGACCCAGGAGCCCAGGAGAGGTGTTCCCAGGGGACATTTTCCTGGCTCTGGGCATGGGATACCCACAAAGACCCAGGAGCCCAGGAGAGGTGTTCCCAGGGGACATTTTCCTGTGCCTGGTCATGAGGTACCCAGAAAGACCCAGGGGCCCAGGTGAGGTGTTCCCACAGGACATTTTCCTGGTCCTGGGCATGGGATACCCACAAAGACCCAGGAGCCCAGGAGAGGTGTTCCCAGAGGACATTTTCCCGGGCCTGGGCATGGTATACCCAGAAAGACCCAGGAGCCCAGGAGAGGTGTTCCCAGGGGACATTTTCCTGGCTCTGGGCATGGGATACCCACAAAGACCCAGGAGCCCAGGAGAGGTGTTCCCAGGGGACATTTTCCTGGGCCTGGGCATGGGATACCCACAAAGACCCAGGAGCCCAGGAGAGGTGTTCCCAGGGGACATTTTCCTGGGCCTGGGCATGAGGTACCCAGAAAGACCCAGGGGCCCAGGTGAGGTGTTCCCACAGGACATTTTCCTGGTCCTGGGCATGGGATACCCACAAAGACCCAGGAGCCCAGGAGAGGTGTTCCCAGGGGACATTTTCCTGGGCCTGGGCATGAGGTACCCAGAAAGACCCAAGGGCACAGGTGAAGTGTTCCCAGAGGACATTTTCCCGGGCCTGGGCATGAGGTACCCAGAAAGACCCAGGAGCCCTGGTGAGGTGTTCCCACAGGACATTTTCCTGGTCCTGTGCATGGGATACCCACAAAGACCCAGGAGCCCAGGAGAGGTCTTCCCAGGGGACACTTTCCCGGGCCTGGGCATGGGATACCCACAAAGACCCAGGAGCCCAGGAGAGGTGTTCTCCGAGGACATTTTCCCGGGCCTGGGCATGAGATACCCAGAAAGACCCAGGAGCCCTGGTGAGGTGTTCCCACAGGACATTTTCCTGGTCCTGGGCATGGGATACCCACAAAGACCCAGGAGCCCAGGAGAGGTGTTCTCCGAGGACATTTTCCCGGGCCTGGGCATGAGATACCCAGAAAGACCCAGGAGCCCTGGTGAGGTGTTCCCACAGGACATTTTCCTGGTCCTGGGCATGGGATACCCACAAAGACCCAGGAGCCCAGGAGAGGTGTTCTCCGAGGACATTTTCCCGGGCCTGGGCATGAGATACCCAGAAAGACCCAGGAGCCCAGGAGAGGTGTTCTCCGAGGACATTTTCCCGGGCCTGGGCATGAGATAACCACAAGACCCAGGAGCCCAGGAGAGGTCTTCCCAGAGGACATTTTCTCGGGCTTGAGCATGGGATACGCACAAAGACCCAGGAGCCCAGGAGAGGTGTTCTCCGAGGACATTTTCCCGGGCCTGGGCATGAGATACCCAGAAAGACCCAGGAGCCCAGGAGAGGTCTTCCCAGGGGACACTTTCCCGGGGCTGGGCATGGGAAACCCACAAAGACCCAGGAGCCCAGGAGAGGTGTTCCCAGGGGACATTTTCCCGGGCCTGGGCATGGGAAACCCACAAAGACCCAGGAGCCCAGGAGAGGTCTTCCCAGGGGACACTTTCCCGGGCCTGGGCATGGGAAACCCACAAAGACCCAGGAGCCCAGGAGAGGTCTTCCCAGGGGACACTTTCCCGGGCCTGGGCATGGGAAACCCACAAAGACCCAGGAGCCCAGGAGAGGTCTTCCCAGGGGACACTTTCCCGGGCCTGGGCATGGGAAACCCACAAAGACCCAGGAGCCCAGGAGAGGTCTTCCCAGGGGACACTTTCCCGGGCCTGGGCATGGGAAACCCACAAAGACCCAGGAGCCCAGGAGAGGTCTTCCCAGGGGACACTTTCCCGGGCCTGGGCATGGGAAACCCACAAAGACCCAGGAGCCCAGGAGAGGTCTTCCCAGGGGACACTTTCCCGGGCCTGGGCATGGGAAACCCACAAAGACCCAGGAGCCCAGGAGAGGTGTTCCCAGGGGACATTTTCCCAGGCCTGGCTATGAGATACCCACAAAGACCCAGAGCCCAGGAGAGGTGTTCCCAGAGGACATTTTCCCGGGCCTGGGCATGGTATACCCAGAAAGACCCAGGAGCCCAGGAGAGGTGTTCCCAGGGGACATTTTCCTGGCCCTGGGCATGGGATACCCACAAAGACCCAGGAGCCCAGGAGAGGTGTTCCCAGGGGACATTTTCCTGGGCCTGGGCATGAGATACCCACAAAGACCCAGGAGCCCAGGAGAGGTATTCCCAGGGGACATTTTCCTGGCCCTGGGCATGGGATACCCACAAAGACCCAGGAGCCCAGGAGAGGTGTTCCCAGGGGACAGTTTCCCGGCCTGGGCATGGGAAACCCACAAAGACCCAGCAGCCTAGGAGAGGTGTTCCCAGGGGACATTTTCCCAGGCCTGGGCATGGGATACCCACAAAGACCCAGGAGCCCAGGAGAGGTGTTCCCAGAGGACATTTTCCCGGGCCTGGGCATGGTATACCCAGAAAGACCCAGGAGCCCAGGAGAGGTGTTCCCAGAGGACATTTTCTCGGGCCTGGGCATGGGATACCCACAAAGACCCAGGAGCCCAGGAGAGGTGTTCCCAGGGGACATTTTCCTGGCCCTGGGCATGGGATACCCACAAAGACCCAGGAGCCCAGGAGAGGTGTTCCCAGGGGACATTTTCCTGTGCCTGGTCATGAGGTACCAGAAAGACCCAGGGGCCCAGGTGAGGTCTTCCCAGGGGACACTTTCCCGGGGCTGGGCATGGGATACCCACAAAGACCCAGGAGCCCAGGACAGGTGTTCCCAGGGGACATTTTCCCGGGCCTAGGCATGAGATACCCAGAAAGACCCAGGAGCCCAGGAGAGGTCTTCCCAGGGGACACTTTCCCGGGGCTGGGCATGGGATACCCACAAAGACCCAGGAGCCCAGGAGAGGTGTTCCCAGTGGACATTTTCCTGGGCCTGGGCATGAGATACCCACAAATACCCAGGAGCCCAGGAGAGGTATTCCCAGGGGACATTTTCCTGGCCCTGGGCATGGGATACCCAGAATGACCCAGCAGCCCAGGAGAGGAGTTCTCAGAGGACATTTTCCCGGGCCTGGGCATGAGATAACCACAACACCCAGGAGCCCAGGAGAGGTCTTCCCAGAGAACATTTTCTCGGGCCTGGGCATGGCATACCCAGAAAGACCCAGGAGCCCAGAAGAGGTGTTCCCAGGGGACATTTTCCTGGCCCTGGGCATGGGATACCCACAAAGACCCAGGAGCCCAGGAGAGGTGTTCTCAGAGGACATTTTCCCCGCCTAGGCATGGGATATCCAGAAAGACCCAGGAGCCCAGGAGAGGTGTTCCCAGAGGACATTTTCCCGGACCTGGGCATGGGATACCCAGAAAGACCCAGGAGCCCAGGACAGGTGTTCTCAGGGGACATTTTCCGGGGCCTGGGTATGGGATACCCAGAAAGACCCAGGAGCCCAGGAGAGGTGTTCCCAGAGGACATTTTCTCGGGCCTGGGCATCGGATACGAAAGACCCAGGGGCCCAGGACAGGTGTTCTCAGGGGACATTTTCCCGGGCCTGGGTATGGGATACCCAGACAGACCCAGGAGCCCAGGAGAGGTGTTCCCAGAGGACATTTTCTCGGGCCTGGGCATCGGATACCCACAAAGACCCAGGAGCCCAGGAGAGGTGTTCTCAGAGGACATTTTCCCGGGCCTGGGCATGAGGTACCCACAAAGACCCAGGGGCCCATGTGAGGTGTTCCCAGAGGACATTTTCCCGGCCCTGGGCATGGGATACCCACAAAGACCCAGGAGCCCAGGAGAAGTGTTCTCAGAGGACATTTTCCCGGGCCTGGGCATGAGATACCCACAAAGACCCAGGAGCCCAGGAGAGATCTTCCCAGGGGACACTTTCCCGGGCCTGGGCATGGGAAACCCACAAACACCCAGCAGCCTAGGAGAGGTGTTCTCAGAGGACATTTTCCGGGCATGGGATACCCACAAAGACCCAGGAGCCCAGGAGAAGTGTTCTCAGAGGACATTTTCCCGGGCCTGGGCATGAGATACCCACAAAGACCCAGGAGCCCAGGAGAGATCTTCCCAGGTCCCAGGGACAGGAGCCCAGGAGAGGTGTTCCCAGGGGACATTTTCCTGGCCCTGGGCATGGGATACCCACAAAGACCCAGGAGCCCAGGAGAGGTGTTCTCAGAGGACCTTTTCCCGGGCCTGGGCATCACAAACCCACAAAGACCTGGAAGCCCATGGAAGTTCTTCCAGAGGAGATCTTCCGCGGCTTGGCCATGGAGCCCCAACAAACACGTAGGGTCCCAAAAGAGGTCATTCCTGAGGGGTTTTTCCCAGAGTTCATCTCTAGGCCATCGAAAGCCTAAAGAAGACCATAAGAGATCTCTGAGCTGGCAATGCCATGCGCAGAGACAGTAAGGAACCCAGGCGAAGTCTTTCGAGGACTGTCCGCCAGCCACCAAGAAACACCAGGAAGCCCTACTCATGTCCAGCCTGGCTTCAGCACCACTGTGAGTTTCCTGCTCAAGTCTAGCACTTCTTTCTGGGTGTGGGAGGACTGTGGTCATACGGGTTAGTCTTCCTGGCAGGAGTAGCTGCTGGGATGTTGTGCGCTTGCTGCTCTGTTACATTGTCACCCAGGAGAGGGCTGGCAGGTCAGCAGCTCCAGGGTACAGTGTTTCTCCCCAGCGCCCAGAGTCATTTCTTCTGCCGGAGTAGAATCCTGTAACACAGGTACACGTGTGATGTGGGACAGAAAAGGTCTCCAGGGTCATAAGCATCCCCAGTGACGGGCTGGCAGGTGTTGATGCCTGTTGCTGGCAAATGGACACTGTCTACACATTTCTACGTATCACTGTAGGCTTTCACGCCAGTTTCTTGCACAAGACTTTCGGGCTGTACAATTCAACAAGTGCCAGCTCACCATGGGTCAGGGTGGGAATAGAGGAGACTCCCACTGGGGCTTTGGAGAAGAACCACAAACACCCTGGGACTGCACAGCAGGCCCAACACCTCATTCCAGGCATGGGTAGACAGCAACCCCACAGAAATATGGGCTTCATGTCCTCCCATGTGAAATTCTTCTCTCCCCAGCCCCTCCTGGGGCAAGGTCACTGTCCATATGTTTTTGAGATCATGGGAGAAGGGACTTTGATACTCTGCCACTGTACTTCTTGGGATGATTTGTGTTCTGCCACTTCACATCCTTTTAACTCCTGCACCTCGGTGTCCTTGTGCCACTGGCCTGACTGTCCTTCCACTCCTTCTCCAATGCTTATTCATCATGAGATTTCCAGAGCTGTGTTCACCAAACACATCAGGACTTCTTCCTATTCTGTCCATTTCTCTGTCACTTGCTGTGTCAAAGACCAATACCGTGGGTCCAACAGGTCAGGAGCTGAGTCTCTGACTTGAACCACATTGCAGAGGAGAGGTGGTGACCGTGACCATCCAGGTCTTCGTGCTAGGGGACCTAGACTTGATTCCTTCCTGGGGCCATTTCAATGGCACCCCAGGGAACATCCTGGGTGTTTCACTTAAGGACCCACCCACCCACACGAGACAAGCTTCTGGGTTCTCACCTCTACAAAGGGACTCTGTCTTGGCTAACATGGATTGATGCCCTTTAGGCAGGCAGTTACCGCCTCTCTGTGGCTACGAAAGTGGCCCAGACATGCTAATATGTCTCCCAAGTCCCTTCTGAAATTGAACCTTTTACTGGGAAAACTACATTTGTGCTGAGGCTCTCCTGTCTGTGTTGAGGCAAAAATCACTAACTAATATCCAGTTTGGGGGAGCTTCACCCTGCAACCCTCCTGTTGGCTCATGGTTTGGCCACTGACTCCACTCTTGCACCACAGCTTGAAAATCACTCAGCTGGGAGCCTCACCCAAGTCTGGCCAGTGCAGGTGGTCACATCACACTCCCTCTCCGAGCAGCTGGCGCCAGCTTTCCCAGGCAGCCAACCCTTCCTCGGTTCCTCCTTCCTGCGATCCACCAGAGCCTGCACCTATGCCCAACAGGCCAGAATGATGGGAAGGTAAGTGTCGCCCTCTGCAGCTCTGAGTCCTGGGGATGTCCCTGTGCCTCCCTCTGCCTCTGTGTGTGTCTCTGAACAGTGCAGTGCTCATAGGCTAAGCCCACAGGGTCACTGTAGGAGAAAGTGGGGTCTCCAAGGCAAGCACTGGCCCTGACCTTGGTCCTGTTGAAGACCTGCTGCAATGGCTGTGCTTATTCTCACTGATGAATTTCCTTCCCTAAAGGGAAGCTTTGTCTTCTCCTCACTGAATGCTGCACTTGAGCAAAGCTATCCTCTTCGTTGTAAAGGAGATCAGAGACTCACTCCACAGGGTTTATACAGCGCAGGAGACCCTAGGGGATGGCAGAGGGACCAGGCCCACTCTGATACCTTAGAGGAAGCTGCTGTGTGTCTTTCTTCCCAGCATATGCATGAAGCCCCACTATGTGCAAACCCTTATCTAGGCACTGACCATGACCCAGCGACCAAGGGGGCTTCTATGCCACTAGGGGGCTAAACAGTCACCTTAGACAGAAGAGCAAGCAGATCATGTTCACAGAGTGGTGAACGGGACAGTCTCCTGGCCTCCTGAGACACGAGCAAGTATGGAGGAAAGGAACCCAGAGGACAGAGAACTGGGCAGAGAAAAGCGCCTAAAAATGAGGGAGAGCTGGGGAGGACCCCTCTCCCTTAGCTCTCACTCCTCAGACCTGCTTGCAGCATGTGCCCTGTTCCCACAAAGCCAATGCCACCACAGATGCCTCCCCTTTTCTGAACAGAGGCCACATGGCAACGGGAGGCACAGGCACGGCAACGGGTGCCCCGCTTCCCTGAAGAAGGGAGAGGTGCTCACACCATGCATCAAAAGATACCCATTTGTCTTTTCCCAGGGCCGTGTCCTTCCTCCTCGACTCCTGGCTAGAGATGCACGTCCAGGATGGACCTCCCAGCCCACTGACTCCACTGCGGCATCCCCAAGCCCGCTGAGGAAGAGAGTAAGGGTGATAGGACCGGGCTACGTGCCCGTGGGTACATGGGATAGGACGGGGCTGGGCACGCAGAAAGGGCTCCCACCTGCTCCGCTGGCCCGGGAACAGCCCTAGACTCAGTAGTCAGTGGGTGGATGCACCTGGGAGCACTCCCTGGGATGGGCTGGCAGGCAGAGCTGCCTCGTGGGAGGAACATGGACAGTCGGTGTTTTCTCCTCTTCTCACTGCAGGGCCAGCTGCGGCCCAAACTCGAGTACCACCTGCAGAGCCAGTGCCACCTCTACCTTCAGCTCCCTCACCAGCTGCAGCACTGAAATGAGAACCAGCTGCAGGAGCCACTGCTCCACCAGTTCCACACCGGGGGTCCCTCATTTCACAGCGGGTGTCACCTCCTGACTGCCCCCTGTGGCCAGCTCCTGACACATACCCACTCTTCTGCACCCTGGCTGTTGCACTTCCTGTTGTATTCACTCGTACCTTTAATTCCCAGTTCTCTGTAAATATATTAATTTTAAATGTAATTTCAGAGTTAGTTTTTTGTGATGGTCAGTGGCATCAAGTACACTTGCAATGCTGTGCAACTTCCACAACTGTCCGGTACCAGAACATCTTCCTGGTTTCCGTACCCATATGCAGTCCCTCACCTCTACCCTGTGCCAGCTCCTGGCTGCTGGTCACCTTTCTTTCCCTGTGATTTACCTATTCTCAGTTTTTTTCACCTCTGTGAAATGAGATTTCTCGTTGGCCACATAGGATTGGAGGGGTCTGATTCATCTTAGTTTAGGTTAGAAGGGGATATAGTCCACAGTTTACAGGTAAAAAGCAAAGCCCCATAAAGAATATAACATA